TTATTATTATTATTATTACTATTACTATTATTACTTCTTCCTCCCTGGTCCTTTATGCTCCTGCTATGAGTGAAGCCATCTGGTATTTTTCCTTTTCTTTCTGGCTTATTTCACTAGGCATGATCCCTTCCAGCTCCATCCATGTTGCTGCAAAAGGCATGTGTTTATTTTTTTGGTTGCTGAATAATATTCCATTGTGTATATGCACCACATCTTTTTAATCTAGTCATCCACTTTTGGGCATTTGGGCTGCTTCCATGGCTTTCCAATTGTAAATAAAGCAGCAATAAACATGGGGGTGCAGGTGTCCTTTTGGATCAGTGTTTTTGTGTCTTTTGGGTAGATACCTAGGAGTGGGATTGCTGGGTCGTGGGGAAGCTCTTTTAGCAGTTTGAGAAACCTCCAGTTTTCAGAGTGGTTGTACTCATTTGCATTCCCCGTCACTGTTTTTAAACAATGGATGATTATTTGCTGAATCAATGCTCAGGCCCATGATGGGTGCATGTGTGGGGTGCTTTCTGCCTATTTCAGTCCTGCTCGTCCTCAAAGCCAGCTTAACCTTCCCACATTTTAGGAGGCTTCATCTCTTTTTACTTGCTTCTGCCTTTTCTGTTTGCTCACTAATAATGTGGCTCAGCTATGTGGTCTTGTATTTTATTTTATTTATTTTAAAGAACTACTCCCTCTGATACACACACACACACCCTTAAAAAAAAAAAAGAGCACTGTACTTTAGTAATGGTGCTTCATCAATCCTTTTCTCCTTTGTGTCTTTTCAAGTGTTCTCAAATTTGGGGATAGATAAAAATCATTGTTGGGCTTGTTGAAAGAGCAGATTCTCTCAGGTCTTATAACTGCACACATGGAGAGACAGCGTACATATAAAATAAATCATATAGATGTTCAATGCATAATTCACGAATTGGACTGAATTAAAGTCCAGAAGGGATTTGAATTAAGGGTTATCAGAAAGTTTTCTTCTAGAAGGTTCCAAAAATGGCCACCTTCTTCCATTTGTCCTCAGTGATCTCATAACTGCAGAATATCAAGGTTGAGCTACTGCATGCTTAAATGGCAGCCAGAATCTTTGATAACCTTAGCTAAAACTGGTGAGAGAAACCAAATCTTAGCCCTCAAATTCTGCATGAATGCGAATCACAGTGTCAGGATTTTTTGATGAAAATGGGTCTTTCACTTCTCATCTTGTGCATCTGCCCCAGCCTCTGCCTCCTTCCTTCCCCTTTGAGTGCTCTTCTCTTTCTGCTGATTTTGAGTTTTTGTTCTAATGGGAAACACTCTGGGCTAATGGGAAATGGATGCCTCTACCTGGGCCACAACTTTGTCACAGCAAGTTACTCATTTCTTCCTGTTTCCTGCTGGCCCAACCAACCTGCTCCATCTTCCACCCTACCTCTCATCCATGAACAGACCCTCTTCTCTATGTTTGTTACAGGACAGTTGGTCTTCCAGTTTGTATCCTACTCTTGTTCCTCTCCTT